CGCAGCAAAACAGAAAAAACACGAATTTCCCATTATTCCACAGAAAATGATGAAAAGCAAAACTGTCACTCTATATGATTTCCCTGTGGGGCCGTTTGTTTTCCAAAATGAAGAGCTCTACAGTACGCCTTCATCTATTATGCCAAATAGAATTAAAGCCAAGATATGGGCACTTTTTATTCGTAAGGCTAAAGATCGTCTACATTTGGAACAATCGCGGATAAAAATGAGAGTCTCTGTCCGTCTGCGCCTGTAAAAAGAAACTATCTCACACTTGAACCTCTGGTGGTACGGGAAGGTAAACGTAGGTGAACAACGACTCATTTTTCTACCCAGTCACACCGTGGGACTCATTCACAGTGAGGCCACGACTCACCGTTGAGGATGCGTTTTGCGAACACGACCCCCTCCTTCTATATCCCCCTCCCATGTGCCACATTTTTCAAAATTTTCCAATTCCCTACACTCTAACGGAGTTCTGGGGTTATTTGAAAAACTTCCACTTCTGCCAAAAACAAACTGCTGCCTACCAAGTGACACGAAGTAGCGGGTTCGGGGTCTTGCCGCAACGGATCCCAACTAGGATAAAATAACCTTCTAACTTCCTAGGACGGTTAATTTGCACAAGATTCGGGTGGAAAGACAAAATGATAAAACGCTGATCATCGATGATCCACCACAAGCCGTTGTCAAGCAGAGTCGTCTAAGTGCTACTACGCCTCAGATGGAAGAAAATGCATGCCACACCTCAAAAGGAATAGTTCGACGGCGTGAGCTTTATACTTTTATTATGTAACCCCTTATTGTTGTGCTTTTACTGTTAGTAGGGAAGTTGTAAAAAATGCAATAGCTCGTCAATAAAGATCACATGCGAAAGCAGGCAGCATCTTAGAAGGTTCGAGACTTAAAGGCACGCTCCGCCTTCTTCAGATATTGAGATCCTTCTTTGGACATAGCGTCCTGCCCGCAAGCATGAAGGATGTATTACTATCACAGCTCAAAAAGGGAAGCGTGACCTGCTTGCGGTGTCACCACAGTCCCGCTCACTTGCCACGGCAAGGCCCAACATATTTTGGTGGTGCGGTTGTTCCGCTACCAGCTCTCTCTCCATTACGAGTGGGAGAATGAAGAAATGAGGAGAAAGAGCTGATAGCATCAAGTGAGAACCGTCCAGTCACGCCCTTTTTCGCTTCATACACGTACAAACGAGGTTCGGCTTAGAGTTCTATGTCGAGCTGTCGAGCTAGTTTTTCCTGCATTTTTTGCTTCTCGTTTGTTGTATTCTCCATTCTAACCTCGTATTTGACCACCAACACCACAACTGACCATTTGTGAATGTGGGGCGTGCCTTTAGGAAACTTTGGTCATATCGCAATGTAGATATGTTTGGTTCTTAACTCAGTTACTACAAGTACACCGATATAAAT